CCAGATCAAGAAAAGTCAGTAGCTCTTCCCTGATGACCAAAACATGTCCAAACTCCTGACTCTGGCATTGAAAGCTCTCCATCCAAATCCAACCAATCATTCCAAATTTATCTGCTAGTAGTCTACACTTTAACCTTTTACTCTAACTAGACTGATATACTCAGACTTCATTTATTACTACCTCCCAGCCTTTTCCTTGCCATACTTCCCTCACCTTGCCTTCATATCACTAGGAAACCAACTGAGAATATTCCAGGTAGCTATGATCCACCCTTCTCGTAATCACATCTAATAAGTGCTCTGAAAATTATTTTTATACCACTTATACAACAATTAATGTATACTAGTTTAAATATCTTTTTTAAATATATGACATCATTATCCTATATAATAAAAGGGTAATATGCAAATTGACCCTAACGGCAGAACGACCGGTCGCTATGATGTGCACTGACTACCAGGGGACAGACGCTCAACAGAGGAGCTGCCCCCTTGGTGGTCAGTGTGCTTCCACAGGGGGAGTGCCGCTCAGTCAGAAGCCGATGCTTGGCTGGTCAGCACAGCAGTGGTGGCGGAAGCCTCTCCCACCTCCGCAGCAGCACTTGGGATGTCCGACTAACAGCTTAGGCTCGCTCCCCATGGGCCTAAGCCATCGGTCGGACATCCCACAAGGGCTCTCAGGCTGCCAGAGGGATGTCTGACTTAGGCCTGATCCCATGGGTTGATGCTCAACCACTGAACCATGCTAGTCAGGTGGCTATAGTTTTTATGCCATAAATTTTATTACAAATATTTGTTGGATGTTAACTATCCATGCTTTCCTTACCATGCTTTTTCTGGTTAGCCTAAATGATCAACATTTAATTATATTCTTTACAGATGATTGTGAGATAAGATAAGGGTGTCACTGCCCCTTTATTTCAAGGTCCAGAGAAGTATGAGATCCAATTTCTACCTTCTAGCTCTTACCAGAGAAGCCACAAAAGAAGCCTCAGGTACAACTGAAGCTATTTCACTACAAAAGTAAATGTGAGGACAACCTTCAGGGAAAACAAGATAAGGTACCTGAGCAGTATATATTTAACACACCATCTGTCTAGAGTTCATTTCAGGAAATGCAGAGTAACTTAGATATTCTCTTAAAATCTGACTACCATATAACATTACATACACCCTAACTTCTGAGGGAAAGAAATAGAAAAGGCCCATACACAAGGGCATGCATTTTTATAAATTGTCTGTGAAAGATGAAAAAAGGTTTCTCCGTCAACCCAATATTTCACATTTTTTGGTAAACACCAAGCAGTCCACTTTCACACTCACAAAAAAAACTAAAGTGCTGCTATCTTGTATTTCTCCCTCACTACTTCCACCACTCCTTCCGTCCTTATAGCTATTTGCCTTCTCACTTGCATTTGCTAGTAGTACTAGTATCTACACTAATAAAAGAGAAAAATGGTAATTGGCATACGACACTACCCTTTTCATTGGCTAATCAGGGCTATATGCAAATTAACTGCCAACTAAGATTGGCAGTTAACTGCCAACAAGATGGCAGTTAATTTGCATATGTAGGCACAATGCAGGGAGGCGAAAGGGAA